GTTTCGGGCATGTGTTCAATGCTTCCACAACGTTCCTCCTCAGAGGTTCAGCACTTCTTCGTTGACCGCTATTCGTCTCGTTAAGGAAGCTATACGCGGTGGGTCGCCACAGCTCATCACACATGTAACCGCCAGCAGTTATGAGCTAGACGTAGGCATCGTTTAGAGGTGATAATGAATTTCCAGCTAATGGAATCGCTTTGATCTTCTTCTGCCGTATGGTTGGGGCGACGTGACTAGCAACATTGTAGGCGACTGTCCAGATTTCTAATCCAATGAATGACACAGAAGATCAATATACTCTCTGAACTCCATAACCCAACTCTGTCACTCTCGAGTTGGCGTCACTCGCGGAAGTTGAGGGAGGGTGAATATCCGAAGCTTTCGTCTCTTTCGTCCACTTGCACTCTTCATCTTCGGCATCTGTCGCGATGATTCCTTCAGCCGTCTGATTTAGATCACGAGCACGCATGGTCATGTGTTCTGTGGCGTCGTTCTTCCTTGTCGAGGATGCTCAAGTCTCCTCGATTCATCTGTCATCCTCTAAAGCACCGGACCGTGGTAGAAGGCCGTTCGATCTTCGTCTGCTGTCTTTTTCCCATCGATCGCTAACAAATGAGTATTTTGAAGTGATTTCATCTGGCATAAACATCATTGTTCTGTATGTAGGTCGCACGAATACGTCAATTTCGCCAAAACCGAACAGGAAACCGACATACAACTGTGTGACCCTAACGCGAGAACGACAGACGTACCGCAGTTGGTCGGTGGCCCGACAAAGTCATCTCTTGTCTTGTCCTCATTAGCCGAGGACAGCGCTCGCTGAAAGTCGTCTCTTAGCCTTGACGGTAACGAAATGCCGTGGTTTGTGGGGGGGGGGCAATAAGAAGATGAGCGAAAAGTGATTTATATAACCGACAAAATGGTCCTTGTCGCTTCTCTGTGAGTTCTTTCAGACTTCAAATTGAGTAGTATAGTATGATATACGTTGTCTAACGAAATGAGTGATTCCATGAGCAATTTATGGCTCTTGTCAGCAGACTGACCATCGTTCTTGGGCGAACGAGTTTGCATAACGTTTTTCAAAGCAAACCTCAAATTTTGAATTACCCAATGCAGTTTCACTCGCTTTCGACGTTCTTGATCTAATGGAGTATTAATCACCTTTTAACGGGGTAATCGGTAGTCAAGTTTTCGCATTCGACTCCGAAGAAATCAAATCAATACCACGTGCCCGTTCATCAGTTTCTGCTGGAACACAGATATTGACTTGACAGTAAGTTGACGTCACAGAACATGCCAACTTTCCCGGCACTGTGACGTCTTTAGCACTCAGAAACAGTAGACAGAAGAAACTTCTAGAATAAGAAACTCATCGACATGCACTAAAGCCAGCAACTTTCAAACACTGTCTTGT